AATTACTATGTGCTAGACACCAAGGTAAGTCTTTTATGGTGGTCATCCCATTTAATCTCACAGCAATTCTAAGAGGTAAGTACTGCCATTTCCCTGATTTTAGAGATGAGGAAACAAGTTGAAAAACCTTATGTACTACATCCAAGGCACAGACTGTTAATGACTCTGATGATGCCTTGTCTTCCCTGGAGGCCCTGAGTCACCTGTGGTCGTGGAGTGTCAGTATCATATCCTCATACCTCTAAGTAGCAGGTAGATCTCCATAAGTTGGTGGGGGTGATTATCAAGTGAATGCTCTGCTTTTCATTTCCAGTTCATTCCACCCTCTTTTTCATGTCGGCCTCAAGTCAATACAAGGATCACCATCAAGGGATGGTGCTTATTGATAAAACATTCTATTTTCCTATGTTTCCAAATAGGCATGATCGAGTAAGATATAAAAACACCAAATAGTTATTTATATCATCAGCAGTGTTGCCATTTCATTTTACATTCTTAGGGGAACTGCTTAGATTAGGAACACTCAGGCATCAAGATTTGCAAGATTCATAAATTCTGTCTCAAGTCTTTGAGGAGATTCTGTCTCTTACTTTTTCCTCATCCCCAGAGTTACCTGAAAGGTGTCTTGGGTGGAGCTGGAATACAGTTTTCAGTCTAACTTGTTGTTGTTCAGTTGCTAAGTCATGTCCAACTTTGCGACTCCATGAATGGTAGCACGCCTGTCCTTCACTATCTCCCGGAGTTTGCTCAAACTCATGTTCCAACTGAATCAGTGATGCCATCCGATTAAAATGGAATTTTAACACATTATTGACTGGGAGATTTTTGCAGAAGCTTATACTTGTGGAGTTAATACATCTCTGGTCAATGATGTGCTAGCAAAGTATGTATTGCATGAGAAAATTCTTTAGGTTACTCATTCTCTTTCAGCCTTAGTTTTCTGGACTGGTAAGAAGATGAACTCTTCACTAGCTCATTCTTTCCTTCTGTCGCAAAGCGTTTATTGAACAGCTACTATGTGTCAGGGAAGGTGTTAGATGCCAAGAACAGATAAAAAGAAGACATTACCTTTCTCCTTGAGGAGCTTAGTGCCAGTGAGAGGGAAATACAAGGAGCTGTCAGAATGTAAAATAGGAGAAAATGGATTTATTAGGGAGTCAAAACAAAAATAAGGGTTAAAGGAAGAAGGTTTAAGGAGGAGAACTGGTTGGTCTAAGTCTGGGGAGAGAAAACAGACTAGCAGGCTTGAGACTGCATGTCTGGAGCACAGAGAGTGAGGAGATCATGGTCAGAGATGAGGTTGAATAAATTGGTGGAGGCCAGACCCAAGAGCCTGGAGGCCTTGATAAAGATTCTGATTTTCTACTGATAGTGATGAAAAGGTGTGGAAGGGTTTTTGTTAGTCGGATACACTCTGGATACAGACCAAAGAGTGGAAGCAGGCAGTCCAGCTTTGAGGCTGTACAACCATGGTCTAGGAGAAGAATGGTGGTAACTTGGACTGGTGACTTCCCATATAGCTCAGTGGTAAAGCATCCTCCTGCCGATGCAGGAGACTCAGGTTTGATCCCTGGGTTGGGGAGATTCCCTGGAGAAGAAAGTGGCAACTCACTTTTTGCCTGGGAAATCTCCTGGACAGAGGAGTCTGGTGGGCTACAGTCCATGGGATTACAGAAGAGTCAGACATGATTGAGCGACTGAACAACAACTAAGATAGTGGTTGTGGAAATGAACAAGTGGACAGGGTCTGAGGGTACCAGCTAGCAGATCTCATCTTCTTTGTCAGCACCTCACTCTGTGCCCATGTATTATGCTGGTTGCAGACCAAGGTACAGGCTAAAATGCTAGGAAACATTTTCAGTTCCAGATGGCAATTTTGAAACACTGTTTTACGTTAAATAAAAGAGAATATGCAATCAAATGAAGCATTCATAGGACATTTTAAAGCCCCGTCGGGAGACTTGAGAGACATTTCCTGCTCAGGCCAGGAGGTTTTAGGCTCTACCTCCTGTTTCCTGGAGTGTTTGTCTGTGCACTTGTCAGTTGCCTCTAAGAAGAAAGGTGCTTCTATGGAATAACATACTGTCCTGAGGTTTTACTAAACCCTCCGTCAGGGTGGTTTCCCCATGTAGAGCCCTGTGACATGCCCACTTTGCTACATGAACAGGTGAAGAGGTGGCACATGCCATTGGTTCATCAGTAAGGACACCAGTATGCCTGCTCTTTCGGGTGGCAGATAAGATGGGGCACCTCACCCCAACACTGACTGACAGATGCAGGGCGCCACTCAGAGCTCAGTGTGTGGGCAGAGGTCAGCATGAGAATCTGATCCCAGCATCACTCCTCCAAGCGGATCCACTGCCTTCTGCGTGTGCAACTGGACAGACCTCATCTTGACAAACCACACAGGCCTGGCCTGTAATGTTATGTCCTTGTTTTTTTTTTTTTTTAAATCTTTTTGCTTCTTTTTTCATAGTGGAGGAAAAAAGATGATTCTTGAAAAGCATATTTTTATCAAGTGGAGGAAAAATTAATTTCTGGAAGCATATTTTGAAGTGAGTTAGTTTTATTTTCCTTTGCCATAGGAAAAGATCTGATCAATAATCAAAAATTCCTATGAGACTTTCTATAGAAAATGTGTCCCATTTTTGTTCTTTGTAAACAAATGTATCATCTAGCCAAGGGTAGTGTTCCATCGAGAGCAGTGATAGACTTGAGAAGCTGACTTAAACCTAAGGTGTATCCCGGATACCTACTGGAGTCAAGCCCAGCTGAGCTCAGCCACACCCAGCAGACCCAGAACCCAATCTACAAATGTTATTCAGTCACTCAGTCGTGTCCCACTCTTTGTGACTCCATGGACTGCAGCACACCAGGCTTCCCTGTCCTTTACTCTCTTCCAGAGTTTGCTCAAACTCATGTCCATTGAGTCGATGATGACATCCAAACATCTCATCCTCTGTTGCCCCCTTCTCCTTGTACCCTCAATATTTCCCAGCATCAGGCTCTTTTCCAATGAGTCAGCTCTTTGCATCAAGTGGCCAAAGTATCGGAGCATCAGTTTTAGCATCAGTCCTTCCAGTGAATATTCAGGGTTGATTTCCTCTAGGACTGACTGGTTTGATCTCCTTGCTGTTCAAGGCACTCTGAAGAGTCTTCTCCATCACCAAAGTTTGAAAGCATCATTTCTTTGGTGCTCAGCCTTCTTTATGGTCCAATTCTCACATCCATTCGTGACTACTGGTAAAACCATAGTTTTGACTATATGTACCTTTGTCAGATGGAGAAAGAAATGGAAACCCACTCCAGTATTCTTGCCTGGGAAATCCCATGGACAGAAACCCGGTGGGCTACAGTCCATGGGGTTGCAAAGAGTCAGATACCTTTGTCAGAAAAATGATGTCCCTGCTTTTTAGTACACTGTCTGGGTTTGTAATAGTTAGTCTTCCAAGGATCAAGCATCTTTTACTTTCATGATTGCAGTCACTGTCCACAGTGATTTTGGAGCCCAAGAAAATAAAGTCTGTTTCTACAAGCTGGAGGGTGAGAAATACTGATTGTTGTAAAACATTGTGATCAGGACTGTTTGTTACCTGACATTGTCACAGCTGCCTGCTGTCACCCTGTGCTGAGCACATCATGAGAAATGCCGGGCTGGATGAATTACAAGCTGGAATCAAGATAGGCAGGAGAAACATCAACAACCTCAGATATACAGATGATACCACTCAAATGGTAGAAAGCCAAGAGGAACTGAAGAGCCTCCTNGTTGTAAAACATTGTGATCAGGACTGTTTGTTACCTGACATTGTCACAGCTGCCTGCTGTCACCCTGTGCTGAGCACATCATGAGAAATGCTGGGCTGGATGAATTACAAGCTGGAATCAAGATAGGCAGGAGAAACATCAACAACCTCAGATATACAGATGATACCACTCAAATGGTAGAAAGCCAAGAGGAACTGAAGAGCCTCCTAATAAGGGTGAAGGAGGAGAGTGAAAGGGGTGGCTTAAAACTAAATATTAAAAAAACTAAGATCATGGCATGTGGCCCCATTGCTTCATGGCAACTAGAGGGGGAGAGATGGAAGTAGTGACAGATTTCCTCTTCTTGGGCTCTAAAATCACTGCAGTTGGTGACTGCAGCCATGAAATCAGAAGACGTTTGCTTCTTGGCAGGAAAGCCGTGGCAAACCTAGAGAGCATGCTGAAAATCAGAGACGTTACTCTGACAACAAAGGTCTGTATAATCAAAGCTATGGTCTTTCCAGTGGTCATGTACGGTTGTGAGAGCCTTCTTTATAGAAGGCTGAGCACTGAAGAATTGATGCCTTTGAACTATGGCTCTGGAGAAGACTCCTTAGGGTCCCTTGGACAGCGAGGAGATAAAAACAGTAAATCTTAAGGGAATACTCATTGGAAGGACTTATGCTGAAGTTGAAACTCCAGTATTTTGGTCATCTGCTGTGAACAGTTGACTCACTGGAAAAGTCCCTGATGCTGGGAAAGATTGAGGGCAGAAGGAGAAGAGGGCATCAGAGGATGAGATGGTTGAATGGCATCACTGATGCAATGGACATGAACTTGGGCAAATGTCAGGAGATGGTGAGGGACAGAGAGGCCTTGTTTAGGGTCACAAAGAGTTGGACCTGACTGGGAAACTAAACAGCAACAATTGTCACAGTATACCTTACTAATCCACATGGATGAAGTAGGGTAATTTTTGATGACTGATCAACTTGAGGACTATTGGTCAGGCATTTTGTAGAATGTCCCCCAGTTAGGATTTGTATGATGTTTTGCTTAAGGTTAGACTAGGAGTGTGGGTTTTGTGGAGGAGGAGGATCACAGAAGTAAAGTCCCATTCTCATCATATCATGTCAAGAATAGATGCTATCAATATGATTTAACAATGTTGATGTTGACCTTGATCACTCAGCTGAGGTAGTGTTCATCAGTGGTCTCCGCTGTGAAGTTATTCTTTTTATTCCCATTTCCAGACTGTACCCTTTGGATGGAAATCACTATGGGCAGCCCACACATAAGAATGGGAACGTACAGTCCACTCTTTCAGGGTGAGTACCATTTCTAGGTTTTTGCTAGTGTAAGTTACTGATGTTTTAATTGATTTTTATATGCAACAACTTATGTGAAATTTGTGAGTTCTAACAGTTTTTTGCATTTCTTGGGTTTTTATTATAAATGATAATACCATACAACTATGAAAATTCTGACTTTTCTCTTTCAGCCCTTATATCTAATTTTTAAAAATGTTTATGTTGAAAAAGACCTCCAGGACTATATTGATCAACCCTCATTAGGTTACAATATGATAAGAAATACTGTCAAATCTCAGGTTTCCAAAATCAAAGACGTGATAGCATCTACCCATTGGTAACAATTGGCTGTGAATGGATGTAGTCTTGCCTCCTTTCTTTTGGGATCCAGTGGAAGAAGGAGCTCCCATCTGAGAAATAATAGCCTTCTGATGGCATAGGGGAAAAGGCAATTGCAGAACCACATTGTAACTCTTCAGTTCAGTTCAGTTCAGTCACTCAATCATGTCAAACTCTTTGCATCCCCATGGAGTGCAGCACGCCAGGCCTCCCTGTCCATCACCAACCCCCGGAGCCTACTCAAGCTTATGTCCATCGCTTTGGTGATGCCATCCAATCATCTGATCCCCTGTCGTCCCCTTCTCCTCCTGCCTTCAATCTTTCCCAGCATCAGGGTCTTTTCTAATGAGTCAGGTTTTTGCATCAGGTGGCCAAAGTATTGGAATTTCAGCTTCAGCATCAGTCCTTTCAATGAAAATTCAGGACTGATCTCCTTTAGGATGGACTGGTTGGATCTCCTTGCAGTCCAAGGGACTCTCAAGAGTCTTCTCCAACACCACAATTTAAAAACATCAATTCTTTGGCATTCAGCTTTCTTTATGGTCCAACTCTCACATCCATACGTGACTACTGGAAAAACTATAGCTTTGACTAGATGGACCTTTGTTGACAAAGTAATGTCTCTGCTTTTTAATACGCTGTCTAGGGTCATAGCTTTTCTTCCAAGGAGCAAGCATCTTTTAATTTCATGGCTGCAGTCACCATCTGCAGTGATTTTGGAGCCCCCAAATATAAAGTCTCTCACTAAAACTTGTGTGCACCAGGACCCAGGAGAAAGGAGCAGTGACCCCACAAGAAACTAACCCAGACATGGTAACTCTTAGAGCTTCTCAATGGATGTGGCAGAGCCAGACTTGATAACAATGCCCTGGGAAGTCCACTCTGCTAATGGGGGTGCCCCATGGGAGAGCTGGCTAGAGATGTACCTGATAGAGAGGACAGGGGGTAGTTAGGAAAGGTATTATAAGATTGTAAGCTTCCACAAACACTAGGGAGAATGATAGTGACAATAGTCACCCCTGTCTTTCTCCAATGTCTAAGAAAATGACTGAAAATGTTTTTCATTAAATATGATGCTTGCTATAGGTTTTTGGTAGCTTGTTACCATGTTGTCAAAGTTCTCTCCTATTTGTAACTTTAACTTTTTAAAAATTTGGCTTGGTATTGAAATTCATTAGAAATTTTTTTCTAACATACGCTGAGGTGAACATGTAATTTTAAAAAAAATGTCTATCTTGAGTTTTGTAAAAAGACAACTGTTTGATCATGATACATTTCCAAAAAAAAATTATTTGAGAGTTTTGCCTCTGTTTTATTAAGTGAAATTAATTCTAATCTTCTTATATGTCTTTACCTAATTTGGGATATAAACTCATAGCCCCATGAAATGAATTGCGTTCCTTTCTGTATTGTTTTCAACTCTGTAACAGTTAGTTTATCTAAGATCAGGATTATTGGTTCCTTTGAAGTTTAGCTTAGTGTTTTGGGGGGCAGAGGGAAAGGATCTTAGGCATACAATGTTAATATCTTTAACATGTTGGTGCATTGATTTTCTTTTTCTTCTTAATTCAACATTGGCTTTTTACATTACTTTCCAAAACTCAACGTGGTTAATATATGTTTCAAAATTACTGGTATATAGTTATTCATGATATTCTTGTATAGTTAAAAAGGTATCTGTTACTTTTTTTTCTAATTCTGTTAACATGTTTTTTTTCTTCTATGTCAGACTTTCCACTAAAATAATTATTCCTGAAGCTTGTAGATGAAATAACCATAGAAACAAGTTTCTTCTTTTCTGGATGATCAGCAACAGGAAAATGGAATGTAGGAGATGCTGGTAAAAATATGGAATTTAAGGATTGAAATCCAATTGAACTTGGGTAAGGCATTTACTTTAAATTTTAAAAATAAACTATAGATGGGAAAAATGAGTGATCTTTTTTCTCTAAAAATCATCTCTTTCCTCATGAACGAAAACTCTAAATTGGACTGGAGCAGTTAATGTAGACCCAAGCAGTTAAAATATCAGGAAGAAAGAGCATATCAATTAGGACACTTGGAAACTAAAGGAGATTAGTTTTGAATTGAACATAAAGTGTTTTACTAGATCGAAAGAATAGCAGCTGGAAACTTCTGTTTATCAAATTTGAAGAGGGTGTAATTCTGGTTTTTTTCTTCCAGACAGAAAATGCTAAACCTTGAGAGGGATTCATTTATTCCATCCAAATGAAAATATAGTTTAAAATCAGTGCACGCATGTGCACGCGCGCACACACACACACACACACACACACACACACACAGCAGAAAAACAAATACTTTCTGCTTTCGAACTTTAACTTTCTAGTTCAAATAATCAGTATCCGGAGGAATTCTGCAAGTGTGTTAGTCTGAAGCTGCACATACATTAGTGCTGTTTCAGACCCATGAAATAATCAAGTTAGAGGCAAGGGCTTCTCTTCCCCTTTCCATCCCTCCCCCCCACCTCTTCCTTGTCTCCCTTCTCCTCCTTATTCTCTTTCGTCTTCTTTTCCCTAATTTCTATTTTCTTTAATTTAATTATCTTATTCCCATACCACCTCCTTATTCTTACCTTTTAGACCTTGAGACAAAGCACCCTAGTATATTAGTAAACTAGACATATTTTCAGTCATGACACTAAGAATGAAAGAATCCAGACTTTTCATTTCGTAGTTGAGAAAATATGCCCTGAGAGTTAAATGATGTGCTCAAGATTACAGAGTGGATGATGGAGTTAAAGTTACAGTTAAGATGTGTCCTCTAGCAGAGTGGTACACTCTCCCTTATCATAGATTATGCCCAATACATAATGCTATGTTCATTTTTAAACTGATTAGTAAAAGCAGTCATTTATGTCTATTGAATTTTACCTCTAGCTTTAGTTAGATAGTGTATAATGTATGCAAAACACATTCTTGTTCTTTTATTGCCTTTTTTTTCACCTTAGTAATTCTACATGGAGGAGAAGGGTCATAGTCTTTTTCTTATCAAACTGAACCTGGGCACGGTTTCCTAGTTGCCACCTCGTGGGTCAGTGGTGGGTCTAAACTGGAAACATGAATTTCAGCTCCCAGATGGTCTGAGACTGAGTCACATCAGCATGGAAAGAATGACTAATGTCCTAACAGCTACACTTCATCAGGTGTTGGAGCAAAATAAACTGTGTTAAAAATATTCCTCTATTTCATGTCTGCTGGGAACACATAGGTAGCATAAAAATAAACTGGAACAAATGAGCAAACTAGACTTTACCTATGCATATAATGAATGTGTGGTTTATTGGAAGCAGAAAGCCTGGAAAAGTACTTGTGGAAAAGGCTTGGGTGACCGTTGACAGAGAAAAAAGTCATGCTAGGTTAGTCCAGGGGCCTGCCTGTCCTCCCTGTGGGGCTCACTAGAGTCACTTCCCCTCCCTGGGCTTCAGTTTCCCCTCTGTAGAAGGAGGAGTTCAGACTCACTGCTCTCTAAATTCTCTTTAGAGCAAGAGACTTTCAGTGGTTCAAGGCCTACAATCCTATCTCGTCTTGACCTTGTACTATTTCCTGGGGGTCTGTTTTCTCTCATTCTGTATCAGATATCAGAGGCAGTACAGTAGAGTTCTTCAAAGTTCTGTTGATTTTTTTTTTCCTTTTTCTCTCTCTTTTTTTCTATCTCTGGATAGCCTTTCAGTAGATAGGTTATCTATTCCTTTTGTGTCTGGTGAACTTCTACTGATCCTCTAAAACCCATCTTAAGAGTGACCTCTTGGACTTACCTCAATCCATTTCCACAGTAAATAACTGCTTTTCTGCGTTTGCCCAGTACTTACATCATGTTTCTATCAGAGTGCCCACTATATTGTATTGTAAATATTTGTTGCTAAGTGCTGATATATCACGTAGCTCCCCTGCTCAAAATCCTCTAGGGACAGCTCCTTAATTTCAGAATAAATTCCAAACTCAATCTGAAATCCAGAATCCTTTGTGGTATAAGCCCTGAGAACCTCTCATTTCACATCTTGCCAGCCAAAATGCTTTCACATAAAGCTGGAGTGTTGAAAAGAACTTCATCTCTACCTCATTATTTCCCCAATGCCTCCAGTAGTTACCCACCCCCCACTCTTTCCCACTGCAGATGTCGCCACTCATAAGAACCTTACCTGAGCCTGCCTGGCTTCCCAGGGGCCCTCCCGTGGTATTCTATGGGTCATAACCACCCTGCTGAGGCCCCTGCATTGGATTTGTTTTTCCCCCACTAGACCATGACTTCAGAAGTTCTGGATCTTCTATCTGTATATCCCCAACACCCAGCTGAATGCCAGGGACTTTCTAGGTGCTCAGTAAATCCTGTTGAGCTTAATAAATTAAGAACAGCCATGGCCAATGGTGATTCCGATAGACATTGCATGAATATGAAACACTGATTTATAAACCTATAACAAGATAGCAGAAAAGATAACCTGTAGGGCAGGAGATGTTCATGGAACAGACATTCCAAACCCATGATTCTGGTCATTACTATTGCTGCTGTTTGATTCTTCTTAGTTTTGGAGGGTGAAACCCAACCTGAACACACTGCTGCGCAGTCTGACATGGGGCAGAGCTCCTCCCAGGGGTTCGGCCCAGATGTCCCTCCCGAACAAAGCTGCAGCCACACGGCACCTTGGCTTTACCATGTCGTCTATTTAGGGCATTTATTTGCTTCCACTGAGCTGTGCTCTCTCAACTCTGATTTTGTATTTGACCTCAGCAGCTGTAATATAATATTTTGAGGTGGTGTACAGTTGTTTTAAAACAGCACTTCATTCTGCAGGTTACAAAACTAACAGAGACCCTTAAAATACCGCAAAGATAATGAGGACAAAAAGCAAACACCTCCACAGCTGCAGTCAGAAGTCATGTCCCTCCTCGTTTCTGGTTACTCTCCCTCTTAATTCCTGGCAGCCCTGCATTCATAGAGCTCTGGTCGCCAGCACCAAATGGTAATTTATCATCTTTCTTGGCAGGCTTCCTGCTTCATCCTGCACCTGCCTTCTTGAAAGAAAACAAGACATCAGATACTTACTCAAATAATGGAATAGCTGATCAACTAGGTTTCCACACAATAGTGAGTTATCCATGATAAAAGAACAACTTTTTTCATGTGTTATATGTGACATATGCATCCTTTCTCTTAAGATTTATGAACCCATGACGATGAGTATTGTTAATATAATCAAACCTTTTACAGCCTCACTCTGAAGCTTAAACTTACTATCAATTGGCTGCTAGAGGGGAGTCAATCAATTTCATAAATGCTTAAACACCTGCACTTTCTTTGGATCAGGGGGTAAAAATCAATACCAAGTCCTGATTTTTCTCCAAGTATAATGCAACCAAATCTTGCTTACAAGTTCAGGAGGACTTGTAATTCAGACAGCCTCACTTAAAAGACATTGTGAGCCTAATCCTGAGTGGTGTTGGTGTTTTTTTTTTTTTTTAATCACTTCTTAAAAAAAAAATCTTGAATCCTAATGAAAGCGGAAGACACTCAGGAAACAAATAAGTGAAACGGGTACTGCTACTACCATTTAGAATTAAGTTCCCTGTTTGTATGTGTGTGTGTATGCCCTGTAACAAACATTTATTATTATGTGCCTATTAAGTAAATGTGATACCACTCCATAAAATATGCAAGACAGAGACAGAGGCCCAGCCTTCAGGGTACTTTAATCTAGGAATGGATGAAGACATTTAAACAGCTTCCTTTAATTGTTATATAAAACAGAATAATCTAATTGTTGAGTATCTGGGAAAAGAAAAGAAGGATAAAAAGCAAAAGGAAGGAAAGAAAAAGAATAAAAAAGAAAATAAAAGGAAAGGATTGTTTGTAATGCTTGTTGCTACTAGCTAGGCTAGAAGCTCCATTTCTGTGCTCACATTTAATTTTTGTAATATGTGGTGAAAACACAGAGGGAAGTATAAATATTCTTAAAGGCTATTAATTCCTTTTTGTTGCCTATTCTCTTTTAAAAAAAAATTCAAAATGCAGAAAAGCAGAGTCTCATAGAGGAAGAACTGTTTATTCATCAGAAAGAATTAATTAAAATTCACATTTTTTCCCTTCTGCTTTGTATTTTATTTAAATAGTATAAATAGAATGTTGCAGATAAACTTGAAGTCACTTCCTTTCCCTTTTCCCATCCCACTCCTCACCCTTCCTGGCTCTTTAGAGGTAACCCCTCCGGGAATTTAGTGTTTACAGTTCAGTTTGCATGTTTCTAAGTTGACCCCACTTGCTTACTCTTTGTACTTGTCATCTGTGATGTAATGTTATTAAAACTAGCTATTTTTCCTACCCCACTGGGCTTTTTTGAACATTGAATCCCGATCTGAAAGTGTCTTATAAGGCTGTATGTTACTATTGAAACATTATTTATTGTTATTCTTAGAAATAATTCTAATTCTTTTCATAAACAACTGCAGTACCCTTTACACGCTTAGAGTCTGCATAAATTCACACACACACACATATATTGCAGCTATCTTTTTTTTCCTCAGTAAATGAATCCACCTGCAATGTGGGAGACCTGGGTTTGATCCCTGGGTTGGGAAGATTGCCTGGAGAAGGGAACTCCAGTATTCTGCCCAGGAGAATTCCACGGACTGTATAGTCATGGGATCGAAAAGAGTCGGACATGGCTGAGCGACTTTCACTTCACCTCTACCCATGTGCATGCGCATTGTTAGAATCATGCCTGGCCCACGCTGGGTACTGGATCAATTTGTTGTTCATAGAATGCCTGGCATCTCTGTTCCCATGAGATGCTTGGCAGCTTGAGGCTAATGTCTATTTTCATTTCTACTGACCCCTCACTAGCTGGCACAGTGTTGGTGAATTGACTGGAACCAGATGTCCTTCCTTCCTGGAAGGGATGATGTCTTATTGGAGCCTGGAAAGTTATCCAGTGAAGCATGGATGAACTGGAGAATAACAAGAGAAAAAGACAGTGATGCTGAAAGCAGCCACCCCTGCCTTCTCCTCTGCTTTTTGCTGGCTTCTTCCTAGATATAAATTTGGAATTGTCCCTTGTTAGCTTATATCTGTTTCATAATCATATTATCTCTGTGGTCAAGTTGCAAAGCAAAATGGCTGCCAGGGGTTAGGAGAATCGTTGTTTGGCCTTCTTTGGAAGTTTCCCCGGATACCCTAGAAGGTTATTTTTCCACTTTCTACACTTGGTGCGCTGTTTGATAGTGTGACACCTGCTGACTGGAGTTTTCTAGCTCTCCACCTGCTCACAGAATATGGCATTTCTTTGATCTAAAAATACTCTTCTTGTAAGATGTAGAAGAGAAAAAAACAAATTAAAAAGTTTAAATAGTCAAATTAAGCAAGCAGCATTCAAGATTAACCCGGGCTCCATCTGACGGCTGCTTTTTTTCCCTCCCCCAAATCCAGGGAGGAAGAGGGAGAGACAGCTCCTACTTTTGCACATGCTTATCTTGACCGAATTGACAGTCCTTGCTTTTTTCTTTGTTATTTCTTTGAATTTATTCAGAATTTAAAAATGACAAAGGGATACAAACATAACTATTTTAACCATAGAAAGAGAAACATCTTGCTGATCAAACTAGATAACCAAATAGAAATGAGCCATTCTGACTCCTCTGGTGACACAGTGCATACGCATGCTCCTGAGCAGTGGTCCTCAGCTGGACAGTCCAGGGGTGGGCCAGCTGACTAATAACATGAAGATCCAGACATAATTATGATCAATCCTGCAGATTTTGTTCCATGGCATTTCCTCCTCCTATTTTGGATATCTAGTTTTCAGGAGTTTGGTCTCCTTTCTATGTAAAAATATATTCTCCTATGTAATTATCATGATTTGACATTTTTTAAGAAGTATTTTATTTATTTACTCACTTGGCTGCCTTGGGTCTTAGTTGTGGCACACAGGATCTTTATGGCTTCATGCGGGGTCTTCTGCTGTGGTGCAGACTCTAGTTGTGGCGCTTGGGCTCAGTCGTTATGGCAAGTGGGCTTACTTACTCCATAAGCAACATCAGATCTTAGTTCCCTGACCAGGGATCAAACCTGTGTCCCCTGCTTCGCAAGACAGATTCTTAACCACTGAACTGCCAGAGAAGTCCCCATGATTTGACCTGAAAGAGACCTCTTCAAGAATGCACTTGTTATATGCTTTTAGAAGCTTTTCATAGAAGTTCATTAAAAAGAAGACACAGGGTCTGTGTTCAAGGAGTGTAAACACTACTATAGAGGATGCTGGTAAATTTGTCTGGGCAAAGATCTTATCCTTTGCTTGCAAGGTTCGTAGGTTTACTGGTGACATGGGTCTTCTGTCAAAGGCCGGTGAGAAGGTTTATTGTTTAAGATGAGCACCAAAGTTGGCCTTGATCAACAGACCTCCCAAAGCAAGAGGTTCAGGATGGTGATAAATAGATTTGTTGCAGCATCATGAGTCCCATAAAAGTCAAAATGAATAAATAAACTAGCCTAAGAAATTTCCAAACAGTGATGGTGGGCAGTGTGCATGGACTGTCTTTTCTCCACTAGGTGCCAGGTTCTGCTTTCCCCCTGCCTTGTCCCCATGTGAGTCTCAGTCCCTTAGAAGCAATACCTGCTAATGGCATTATGTTCAGTGTCTTGACAGCGTCATCTGTAAAATAATATCAGTAAAACTAGTTCCCTTTCCTACCCCGTAGGACATTTCTTCATTTGAAGTATATTTGATTTACAATATTTGTGTTAATTTCTGCTGTACAGAAAAGTGATTCAGTTACACATACATATATATTCTTTTTAAAAAAATATTCTCTTTTATTATGGTTTATCACAGGATATTGAAATGTAGTTCACTCTGTTATAGAGTAGGACCTTGTTATCCGTTACACACACGCGCGCGCACGCACACACACACACACACACAAATGTAGTTCACTCTGTTATAGAGTAGGACCTTGTTATCCGTTACACACACGCGCGCGCACGCACACACACACACATTGTGTGTGTGTGTGTGTGTGTGTGTGTGTGTGTGTACCGTTATCTTTATGCATTCCTCTGTCAGTGGACATTTAGGTTATTTCTGCATCTTGGCTATAGTGAATAGCGCTGCTATGAACACAGAGGTGCATGTATCTTTTGAATTATAGTTTTGTCTGGATATATGCCCATGAGTGGGACTGCTGGATCACATGGTAATTCTATTTTTAGTTATTTGAGCAACATCCATACTGTTCTCTATAGTGGCTGTACCAACCTACATTCCCACCAACAGTGTAGGAGGGTTCCCTTTTCTCCTTTTCTCTACACCCTCCCATGGAGTTTTCTTGAACATCAAATAAGATACTGGCTGTGGAACTACTTTGTTAACTAGAAATGTCTCTTGAAATAATATTTATCATTTTATTATATAATTCTAAGTCTATTAGAATAGAACAGAATGAAATGGAATCAAAATATATAATTTACCTACCATTTTGGTAGAAGATAAATAGGGCAGGGACATTATCTGTGCTGGTTATGGCTGCATTCCTAGCACCTAGAATAGTGTCTGGAACATAGAAGGAACTAGATAATTATTTGCTGAAGGAAAACAAGTGTTTCAAAAAATGAGTGAAAAAATGTTGCTTGGGACCATTTGCATAGGTGTCTATGGAGATATAAAGATAAACAAGGAGAAACTGTAAGAGATAAAAGTAATCATCCAATCAAACGAAAGCCCCATATGATCAGAGGTTGCTTTAGCTTCAGACTTTAATGTTGGAGCTATAAATAAACAATTCTTTTTGCTCTTAAGTCCACTCATTTTCTATTTTTCTACAGGTTAGACCCTACAAATCCCAGACTTTAAGTAAACCAGTCAAATCAAAAAGATCAAGTCACATGCTAAATTGTGGATTGTTGAATGGGAAATGTCAGGCTACAGAAATTTGTAGGCTAAACTAATTTGGAGTATATGGAATAGCATTAAAACCCACTATTCAGTCAGCTAGTAAATACATCAGAGAGTCTGCTGTGTGCCTGGACAGTGCCAGGGACCACGGCTGCCGTGGTCTCTAGAGCTTTTCCTTTGTCCATCCTGATGCTTGGCTCACTTCCTCCCTTCATCCTGTGGGGCACAGTAGCCAATGGGTAGTATGCTCTGAATTACACCTCTCTCTCTTCTAACCATTTCAGCATCACCTATGGGAACATTGAGTTCATTTACAAAGGACACCAATGACAGAGTTCATTTTACAGCCACAGGGCCTCAGCACAACTGTGACCTAAAGCCTGGTGAACCTTTTAAGTGTGGGTTTACTCTAGGCATGCAACCCACTCCAGTATTCTTGCCTGGAAAATTCCATGGACAGAGGAGCCTGGCAGGCTACAGTCCATGGGGTTGCAAAGAGTTGGACATGACTGAGCAACTAAGGCTTTACTCTAGGTATATGATTTAGAAGCATCGTCACTCTCAGATTTGAAGCTAACAGTGCAGAACATTAAATAAATATATTTCCAAGATCGGATATGTTTTGACGGCACAAGCTTCACAAGAACTGGTTTTTATAGAGAAGGGGAGGACAGCATTTTGCGTGTCCCCGTGAAATACACAGAGGACATATAACCCACGTCAGGCCAGGTGGTAAAGGATGGGAAAGAAACTCCTATCCCTCTCTGATGGGGAATGGCCCCAGGAGACAGGTTTCAGTTCAAGAGCAAAGCGTGGGAGATATTCAAGGAAGAGATTGGCAATGTAGAATACTGTCCAGGCAGCCCTCCCCAGGTTGTACTAGAAGGGTCTGGAGTCACAAAGGAGTGTGAGAAATGAGACCAGACTAGGGGACAGACAGAGACATACAGGAATCAGAGTTCCGGTTATATGGGATGTCCTGGGATCATATAGAGCTATGAAGGGGCATGATGGGGTTTGCCTGTGATCCCAAATGCAGGTTAGAGAAGGCTGAGAGTGTGTGGCAGGGAAGGAGAGGGACTCCTGGCTAGAAATGTGACCAGGCCACCAAGGGTTATTATCCTTTAAGAACTTTCCTTACTCTGTGGGTGCCCTTCAGGTTCTTTCCAGAAAGGAAATATAACTATGACAAGTGAAAAGAGCTCATTAAAAAGTTTCAAATAGAGAGGTATTATGGCTTCATTTAAACAACTTTTCTTCCCCCCTGTGGATGTCAGTTCAGCTTGGCCACCTGCTGGGTCTACCTTGACTAAAAGGTATTGTTTTTACAGTAACATTCGTTTTCACTCCCCTTAGTATACCTGCAAACAAGTTTGTTTTATAAAATTGGATACACAGAAAAAGTAAAAGAAGAAAATTAAAATCACTGATTTCTTACTCTGAAGTAACCATAGTTATGAGTCTGCTTTCTTCAGACTGGAGTGAACTGCCGCACACATCTAATTTCATTTTACTAAACTGTGTGCTATTTTACGTTTTCAAAACTTAACATTATACTAAGTAAGTTTTGCTGCATGACTGCACCTCCTTTCAAACTGTATAATATTCTGCCATACAGGCGTCACATAATTTATGGTTAGGCATTTTGATAAAAAGCCTGCCAGAGTCTTATATCAGAATCTTTGTGTGCATCTCTGATGAGTTCCCCAGGATAAATCCCTAAAAATAGAATTACTGAAACAAAAGGTAGAAATACTCTTGCGTTTCTTAACTGTGATTATAAGCATTCTTAATACAGGTTTATTTCTCTTCTATTAGAGTCCCTGTGTCAAGCAGCAACCAGTAACCATTTCCAGGTACCATGAATGTCATATTCTGATGAATTTCTCATCTATAAACATATTAGAAAATTTAAAAAGTAACTTCTGACAGAGGAAAGTCCTGAAACCAAAGTCAAGATATCTCGCTGTTATTTTCCACTGTGGCAGCAACCAGCTATTTTCCCTTAGGCCTGACGCTACTTCTACAGACTCTTGAAAAATTCC